CCCCCCCCCCCAAATAGTATAGGCAAAATCTTAAGGAAGCCATGTTACTCTAGAGCTGTTTCGACCCGAGAGCAGAACGCCCTTCAAGATTTTAGGTGGAAGGTTCCTTTTGGATGAATTAACTGGTTCCCTGTTGGGGCTATATTAAAAATGATCATCTTTTATCCTTACAGTGGGTTGCGTTATAACAAAACATGTAAAGTTGTAGTCAACAAGGACCCAGTTTAGGTCCTAAACCGACACCCTCCAAAGCCTGAGTCCTTCATGCCTGTAAAGCCTAAACCCTAAACCCTAAACCCTAAACCCTAAACCCTAAACCCTAAACCAAAGCCTGAGTCCTTCACGCCTGTAAAGTCGTGTGAGACTCTTGGAAACCCCAGAAAGAAAGGCCTAGGGTTTAGGATTTAGGGTTTAGGATTTAGGGTTTAGGGTCCGCAACCCCCAAGCCCGGTAAACCTTAGACCCTCCTAGCTTTAGGCTTTACGGCTTAGGGTTTCGGATTTAGGTTTCAGGATTTAGGGTTTGGGATTTAGGGTTTCGGATTTAGGGTTTGGGATTTAGGGTTTGGGATTTAGGGTTTAGGATTTAGGGTTCAGGATTTAGGGTCTAGGACTTAGGGTTTAGGATTTAGGGTTTGGGATTTAGGGTTTGGGATTTAGGGTTTGGGATTTAGGGTCTAGGATTTAGGGTTTGGGATTTAGGGTCTAGGATTTGGGGCTTAGGGCTTGGAGACTCTTAAATCCCCGTAACCCCGCCTTGGACTGCATGAAGCTTGGACCCAAAAACTTCTGACGGCGGCTGCCCCGCTTCTGCGCCGCAGCTTGGGCGAAAGCGGGCATGGGCGAGGGTTGGCCTCGGATTCTTCGGCATCAATTTGCGGCTTCAGGCCTTTTCAAGGGTCTTCTTCCTTAATCTACCAAAACCTACTTTTTTTTTGTGGGGTTCTTACTATAAAACCTAACATGGAATCCTGGAAGTGTTCAGGTAGGGCTCCACTACAGGATCGGCAAGGGCTCCTACAAGGGTTCTACAGGAGGTTCAGGTGCCTTATCGTTGTGATTTAGGTATATCGCTCTTTAGTGTCCCCTCAGGTTCTTTGTGCCTAGAAAGGGTCGAATATCCTAAACCCTGGGCCCTATATCCGGTACCCTATAACCCTGAACCCTAACCCCCAGAGTCGTTGCTTCATTGGTTCTCTGTGGCTGTGCGTACATTCCTCATGCCTTGGGCTTCAGGCTACTCTTGGAGAATCATGGGACTTAGTATGTTAAAGGGTCTAGGGTTCTAAGGATCATGAGACTAAGT